CAAGGCAGGCATTTGACATTAGGATCTCTTGCAGGGAGTCAGCTCTGAGTTTGTCCCTAATGAACAGGTAGATCATAAGGAACTAATATTCTCCAGGATTGAACACTGCCCCTCATTGGCTTTTCTTCTTCTTTACAAAGGCTCTTGGTTTTCATGAGGTGCCTCTCTATCTCAGTGAAAGGGCTGTGCTTTCAGGTCATAATCCCTGCTGAAATCACAAATGATCAAAGCCGGCAAAGTATGTGTTGTTGTGGTAGATTTTCCCTTCCTTTTACGAAATACTGGAAGTAAAGAATTGATTCATATTTTGAGGGAGGAGTCCACAAGCTTTCAAATAGTGCCTAGGTAAATCACCAAATCCAGAAACACATAAGTGTTTGATGAACAAGTGAATACATGGGAAAAAGTATATATACTTATATATATATGTGTAAAACTGAATCACTTTGCTGTACACCTGAAACTAATACAACATTGTAAATCAACTATACTCCAATAAAAAATTTTTAAATGATTAAAATGGTAAATTTATATGTTACATATATTTTACTACAACAAAAAAAGCTTAAAAAAATTTTAAAAACAAACAAAAAAACCCCCAAATAATATATGAGTAATTAGGGTTTTGGTTCTCCTAGAAAAGTCTCATGTCTAAAGCATGAAAAGCTCTATAATATGCTAGGTTTTATTCGTCCACGATTACTCAGGCCCAAGTTTTCCCAGATCAAAACTCTTACAGCTTTATCCCCATCTTTGGTTCCATTTTGCAACAATTTAATGAGTTGGGGATTCTTTAAAGAAAAATTTCCAATAAACAAGATGTAATGCTTTTCTTCTGTATTGCAACAAATATTCCTTAATGTAGATTTTCTTTTCTCCTGATAGATACTAATTGATGTTCTATACATTTTTCAAGTTTAACTCATCTGTGTCACTATTCCTGTTTCTAGTCTCCACACCCTTCACCTGTCTTCTCCCAGCATTATTCACTTACATCTGTATCAGTGGTTCTCAACCCTGGCCACATATCAGTCTCACCTGGGAAGCTTTTAAAACTTACCAATGCCTGGGCTCCATTCCCAGAACTGACTTTATATGTCTGGGGTGATATCCTGGCATAGATAAAATATTTTAAAGCTCTAAAGGTGATTCTAATGTGCAGCCAAGGTTGAGCCTGTATTTCACTCTTATTCTCATTTCAGTAAAGTGATGGCATCCCTTTCCCCATGCGGTCTGTCACTGAACTGATTTCCAACCTTCATGAATTACATAGAAGGTACCTCTCCCCTCAGAGCCCCTAGCTGGAACTCTGACGTCCACTCCCTGTTGAAATAATAGGGCAAAAGAACCACTTTCTGCAGCCAAAGGGTCTGGGGGAAGGATGTGACAATTAAAGGATAACCTGATGGAGTTTCTATGTGGTAATGGGACAGTTATTTATGATGATTATGGTGATGCTTACTCTAATCTACACCTGTGATACAACCTCATAGAACTATATATCCTGCCCACCAAAAAACCAAAACCAAAACTGAAAACTAGAGAAATCTTAATAAGGAGGTAGTTGAGTTAATAATATTGTATCAGTACATAGACAATTTCTTTAAAACAAGACATATATATATATAATATATATATATATATATGCATTGCTAGTTTATACATTTATATAACAGTATATCAGTTACACAATTCTAACTTATTTATTTTATTCCATTTTTTTGTTTTTTTTGTTTCTTGCGGTACACGGGCCTCTCACTGTTGTGGCCTCTCCTGTTGCGGAGCACAGGCTCCGGACGCGCAGGCTCAGCGGCCATGGCTCACGGGCCCAACCGCTCCGCGGCATGTGGGATCTTCCCGGACCGGGGCACGAACCCGTGTCCCCTGCATCGGCAGGCGGACTCTCAACCACTGCGCCACCAGGGAAGCCC